TGTAGGGCGCGTGCGCTCGCCAGTCAGACAGAGAGAGACATAGAGACAGAAAGCGAGAAATCACCCCCCAGGGGGGATGGTCACGCCGCAATCCCTTCTCCTCCATTCTCCTCTCGGGATCTTGGGCACGCACGCACACGCGCCCGGTGTGAGTTTTAAGCCACCGGGTCTGGGACACGAACCGCGGTCGACTACGTGGGAGTCCAGCGACATAGCCATTATGCTAACTGCTGGTTCCCAACATAGCCATTTTTTAAGAAAGAAATATTTTTTAAGAAAGAAAATAAGCTCAACATTATAGTCATTAGAGAAATGCAAATGAGATATAGTTATTAAATACTGTAGTGTAATAAGATATAGTTACTAAAATAGCTAAAATTAAAATCTAATAATACCAAGAGCTGTCATAATATGAAATAACTACAACTCTGATTTATTTATTCCAAAATGCAAAATTGTATAACTTCTTTGGCAAACAATTTGATAGTTTCTTATAAAGTTATGCATACACTTACAATACAACCCATCAATCACACTTCAAATATACTTTTAAGTGAAATGAAACTTATATTCAGTAAAACAAAAAAACAAACAAAAAACAAACCCAAAAAACTAAGTCAAAATATGTAGAATGGCTTTATCTGTAGTCACCAAAATTGGAAAGTCTTTGAGTGTCTTTTATTTAGTGAATGGATAAGTTATTTACATCCATATAATGGAATACTCCTTGTTAAAAAAAACAATATTGCTATATAGAATATTGATAAATTTCAAAAACTAAATCAAAGAAGACAGATTCTAATACTTTATATTAGGATTATAATATATAAATATGTTTTATCTGTAGTCACCAAAATTGGAAAGTCTTTGAGTGTCTTTTATTTAGTGAATGGATAAGTTATTTACATCCATATAATGGAATACTCCTTGTTAAAAAAAACAATATTGCTATATAGAATATTGATAAATTTCAAAAACTAAATCAAAGAAGACAGATTCTAATACTTTATATTAGGATTATAATATATAAATATGTGTGTGAAGATATATATATATATATATATATATATAATTTTTTAAAAGAGATTTTTGCTATAGGGCTCATATGCTCACTGGAGAGAGAGAGAGAGATAGACAGAAAATGAGAAATCACTCCTTGGGGTGATGGCCATTCTGCAATCCCTTTTCTTCCATTCTTCTCTCAGGATTTTGGACACACATGCACACACACCTGGCATGAGATTCAGCCACTGGGTCTGGTAAACCATGAGTCAGTGCCTTAACACTATGCCACCTGCTGGCCTCTATAATATATATTTTTGTACACACACACACACACACACACACACATACACCCACACTACACTCCCAGAAACAATGAGCAGTATCACTATTCAGATCTTGGTTTCCTTTTTAAAAAATTATTTATTTAATTCCATCTGTTATTATTATTTTAAAATTTGACCAGAGAGAGACAGAAAAAGGGAAAAGGAGAAAGCAAGTGCCAGATCTGGGACTCAGACCACGGTTGGCCATGTGGGCACCATGCCACCTGTTGGCCCTTAGATCTTGGTTTTTCTTTTCTTTAATTTTTTAAAAAGAATTATTTAACTTTATTTATTTATTTACTTTTTAATTAACCAGAGAGGGATGGAGAGAGAGAAAGTGAGAAAGCAAGTCATCAGGTCCAGGACTTGAACCGCGGTTGGCCATGTGGGAGTCCAGCACCCTTAACCACTGCACCACCTGCCAGCCCCTTCTTTTCCTTTTTTAAAAAACGAAGTGTCTCTTTTTTAATTTTTTTAACTTTATTTACTTTAATTTGACCAGAGAGGGACAGAAAGAGAGAGAGAGAGAGAAAAGTGAGAAAGCAACCTGCCAGGTCCAGGGCTTGAATCATGATTGGCCATGTGGGAGTCTAGCGCCCTTAACTACCGTCGCACCTGCTAGCCCCCCTCCCAGATCTTGGTTTCTAAACACTATTCTTCACTAAAAGAAACCAGGTCCCAGGACCAGCAGTTGGCGTAATGGCTATGTGGTTGGACTCCCATGTAGTTGATCGTGGTTCAAGTCCTGGACCCAGTGGCTTAAACTCATGCTGGATGTGTGTGTGTGCGTGCCCAAGATCCTGAGAGGAGAATGAAGGAGAAGAGACTGTGGCATGGCCATCCCCCTGGGGGAAGTGGGTGATTTCTTGCTTTTAGTCTCTCTCTGTCTTTCTGGCAAGTGCATGCGCCCTACAGGACAAACCTCTTCAACAACAACAAAAAAAGAAACCAGGTTCCTTTATTTGTATTTATAAACAATTATAAAATGTATACAAATCACATAAAGTTGTATTTTAGGCCTCTCTAAATGATCACAATGTTTTTTTTTGTTGTTTTTTTTTTTTGCCTCCCCGCGCCCTCCCAATGTTTTTTTAACCATAGTTTCATTTTATTTTTTTTCACGAGTGAGACAGCATGCCTTTTTTGGGGGAGGAGAGGTTTTTGCTATAGGGTACGTGCACTCACCAGACAGAGAGAGATAGAGAGATAGAAAGCAAGAAATCATCCCCCCAGGGGGGATGGCCATGCTGCAATCCCTTCTCCTCCATTCTCCTCTCGGGATCTTGGGCACGCACACACATGTGCCTGGCGTGAGTTTAAGCCACCGGGTCTGGGACTCGAACCGCAGTTGACTACGTGGGAGTCCAGCAACATAGCCATTACACTAACTGCTGGTCCCAGGGAGAGGTATTTTTGAGAGGGCCTCACCAATGATCCTTTCTGCTCCAGCCTCCCAATTAGCTAGGACCACAAGCATGCACCACACCTATGGTTGGGAAACTGAACCTGGGCCTCTCAAGCAGATTCAGCCATCATATAGAGATGCCCTCATGCTTGTGCCGCTACAGCTGAGTCACAGTTTTTATATTAGATTAAAATGGTATTGAATAAATTATATTCAGAGAAGTAGAGCTTAATCTTTATTCCCACTTGAGGATGTCGTAGACTTAGAGACTCATTTTGGAAGAAAATGGAAAGGAAAAAACTATAACATTTCTTCTTTATTAATTTGCCAGAGGCTACATGTGCTTGCTGGAGGGAGACAGCAAGAGAGAGAATGTGAGAAAGCAACACTTATGGGGGATGTCATGCTGCAATCCCTTCTCCATTTCTCCTTTGGGATTTTGGTCATATACGCCCACATACTGAGGATGTTTCTTGAGCTGCTGGGTCTGGGTCTTGAACCACTGCAGTAAACCATGTGGAATCTACAACTTAACCACTACAGGCTGGCCCCCAAATCATAACATTATATTGGAGAAACATGATAGACATTCTGTTAGCCAAGGGATAAAGATGAACACCTTTAGTGATGTCAAGCAGCTATCAGGTACCATTGGTGTGATATGTTGAGGGCACTTCACCTCTGATATTCTTTCCAAAAATCCACGGCCCTAGTCTAATCATGAGAAAATATATCGAATTCAAACTATAGAATATTCTATGAAATTCCTAACCAGGACTCTTTTTTTTTTGAGAGATTTTCACTGTAGGGCGCGTGTGCTCGCCAGACAGACAGAGACAGACATAGAGACAGAAAGCGAGAAATCACCCCCCATGGGGGATGGTCACGCCGCAATCCCTTCTCCTCCATTCTCCTCTCGGGATCTTGGGCACGCACGCACACGCACACGCGCCCGGCGTGACTAACCAGGACTCTTTAACACTGTCCAAGTTATAAAAAATAAGGGAAGACTGAGAAACTGTCTCTGATCAAAAGAGACCAAGAAAACAGAAATATATGCACTGTGGTATACTGGAATGAATTATAGAACAGAAAAAAGAACATCAATGGAAAAGATTAATGCAAATAAATCTGGAGTTTAATAGTAGTGTACCAATGTTGTCTTAGAGTAGACAAATGTAATATGATCACGTGAGATAGCAGTAGAACTAAAACTGGGTGAGATATAGATAGGAACTCAGTACAATCTCTGTAACTTTTCTATGACTCTAAAATTATTCTGGTGGAAAAGTTTATTTTAAGAAAGTTTTGTTTGCTTCCTACAAATACACTTATCCTCTAAGGGATGTGTTATAGTCATTGTGGACATGTTATTTAGTCTGTGGATTTCTCCATTTGCTGTTTAAAAAAAACCCTTGTCTGTGTACTCTTTAATATTTTGCTTAGGATGCTGAGTTTTTGTGTCCTTATGCAGTAGTCTGAAGAGTCATTTTTAGGGACCAGCAGTTAGTGTAATGGCTATGTCGCTGGACTCCCATGTAGTCGACTGCTGTTCAAGTCCCTAACCCAGCGGAGTAAACTCATGCCGGGCGCTTGTGTATGCGTGCCCATTCCCTCTGGGGGTGATTTCTCGCTTTCTGTCTCTGTCTGTCTGGCGAGCGCTATAGGGCGCCACAATCCCTTCTCCTCCATTCTCCTCTTGGGATCTTGGGAGCGCACGTACACATGCCTGGCATGAATTTTAAGCCACCGGGTCCAGGACGTGAACCGCGGTGGACTACGTGGGAGTCCAGCGACATAGCCATTACGCTAACTGCTGGTTCTCAAAGAATCATTTTTAAAGCAAGCCCAGTAACTATTTAAGAGCAGTTTGAGCACTTATGTAATATAATTTTTTGTAATGTAACTTAAAATCTGTTATTCTTGTACCATCTAATAAATGAGATATTCAGAACCCTTAAAAATGAAAATAAATATATTTTTAAAAATGACCATCACGCCTACTCAGTAAAGTCCTTTGCTGTTTTATGAGAGCCTCCTGTCTCATTGTGCCAACCCATAGGGTAAAAATGAACCACATCTCTTTTTCTATATACCCCATTAGCATGTGGACATCAGTAAGAACTTAGAATTTTTCATCATTGTGAGGATTCTCTGGTACTTTGACAACAAGACACAGTAGAATGCCCATATACAGTTGTCTCCCCATAGTTTTACAGAAAGGTATATTTCAATAATACTTTTTTTAATCTACTAGGAAATAACCTGACAGTTTTGCCAAGTGCTATCTATAATCTTTCTTCACTGAAGGAGATAAATTTTGATGACAACCCTTTGCTGAGACCGCCAATGGAAATCTGTAAAGGAAAACAGTTATACACTATTGCATGTTATCTACAGAGGGCAGATGAACGAGACGGTAGGTAATGAGTGATTGACTATCTTACAAATCATTTTCTGGTATCATCTATAAATTAAAAGATAGTTTGCTTTAATTAGGGGCTTCCAATCCATCAGAGACTTTTAAATATTTACATTTTTCCCTTTTCAGAAGGCTAAGAATTTATTTTAGCAATTCAGATTACTTAAACCAGGTCTATACAAATTGAGCCACTGAAAATGCAAATCTGCAGGAAGGGTGGGCTGCTTCCTACCCATTGGCCTTAATGCCCTTCAATAGGTTTTCTCCCCATGGCTGTGCTTAGACTTAAAATCTACTCAGATTTTTTCATCAGTTCTGATTTGTTGTACTAGACATAAGTGTTCCAGAGGTATATTAGGCCTTGAAGGAAGTCCACAGATCTTAACATGGATTATAGTCTGTTTCAGGCCCACTGTGAGGATTTCATGTGAAATTCTTAGACAGTCTTCATTCCATCCGTCCTTCAGTTTTCTGTTGCATATCACTGATTATCTCTGAGTGTTGGTCCATTTTTTTAAAATGTCCATCCATTGGACCAGATGGAAACTAACTGTCCAGTTCTTTCCTTGGAACTGAGTTCACAATAATTAGGCTTTTCTTTAGAAGTCTGACTTTGCCACTTATCCTCACTGCTCAGTGAATCCAGATATTGGTCCTTGAAGTTAATGTAATAGACCAGTAAGTATTGATATAGATTTGGGGAACTAGAATGTTCAAAATTGTCCTCCCAAATAATTCTATCATGTACTTTGCTACATAATCCATAACCAGGGGCTTTTACTAGTATAATGTCGTAATGTAGTGAAGTAGCCATTAACAGTGTACTGTCTTTTATAGGTTACAACATGCATTTACATACATGGCTGCCGTTCATAAGCATTTTTTTTCCTATATTGTTTCTACAATATTATAGGGAATGTGTGCTTATAGGAAAGAGACAGAAAGAGAGAGAGAGAGAGGGAAAGCTGCAGCAGCCCCCAGAGCTGGAGTCACAACAGTCCCCAGAGCTGACGCTGCAGTAGGATGAGACTGGAGGGCACTTAGGGGGACATTTAGGAGTGGGGCACTTGGAGTGTACTTGGGGGTGCACTTGAGTGGGGGTTGGCACTGCCGCTGGTTCTACTGGCAGAACATCTTGAAGGCAGATGTTCAGAAGCTGAGAGAGAGTCACACAGCAAGTCAGAGCCAAGCCACAGAGGTCCCAGAACCAGTGACTTGACACTCACGCTGGGTGCATGTGCATGTGTGCCCAAGGTCTCAAGAGGAGAATGGAGGAGAAGGGCTTGTAGGATGGCCAATCCCCCTGGGGAGTGATTTCTCACTTTCCCTCCCACCGTTTCTGTCTGTCTCTCTCAGTAGTGAATGCACATGCCCTAAGGTAAAAAAAAAAAAAAAAAAAAAAAAACTCTACCAAAAAAAAAGACTTGGGCCTCATTGATGAAGCATACCTAAAAGAAAATTAAGTCACAGTAATTAGGTATCTTCATTTCTTTTTGGTAAAGACTTTATTTAACCTTATTTTTCTTACTTTTAATTTGATCAGAAAGGGACAGAGCGAGAGAGAGAGGGAAAGTGAAAAAGCAAGCTGCCAGGTCTGGAACTTGAACCGCTGTCGGCCATGTGGGAGGCTAGCACCTTTAACAACCATGCTACCTGTCGGCCTCACTAGTTCTCTTCAACTTGCTGTGCAAGTTCATTGTGCTAATTATTACCATTAAAAAAGTGGTATTTTATGGTAATTCTATTTTTATAAAATAAAGTTTTGTTGGGAACTTTTAAGGATCATAAAGTGTTTATGTTAGATACAGTATTTTAGAGAAGGGCTGTAAAGTTGTTTGACTGAACCTCCTTGCTAAAATTCTATTTCTCAAGTTCCCAAGGAAGAAGGATTCCTGTGGTTCTAGCCTTTGTAAAGAAAGTACAGTAGACAATGACAATAGATCAAGGTCAGAAGAAGGCTGTATTCTCCATTCTTGGCATCCAGCAAGTATAGGGGAAAATCAGCATGGGAAATGTATTTATTCTGCAATTAACAAAGAACATGGAACCTTTTCCTTAAATTTTTACTAAGGGGATTGAAATGTTCACTTTTATCATTAGCATGCAATCTAGCTTGAATTAACGATATGTATAAAATATTTAAATAGAAAGACCAGAACATATTTGAGATGATAATGAGGGGTGAGATATCTCTAGTACCTTTGTTGACAAAGAATTAGTTTAGTTCAAATTCACTGGAAACTTATTTAATAAAACCCCAAAACTAAAAGCACTAATATCTATGTCAATACTTAAGTGATCTGAGTATAAAAATATATGTATATACACCATATTTATAATACATATGAACTCAGTTCCTAAAATTAGTATGTAAAAAAGCACATAAAAAGCCATAATTGTTGGAAACAGTAGAATTCATTTCAAACCCCAGAAGAATTAAAGGAGTTTGGAAATCACTTTGAAGTTGTTATATCTTTTAAACAGCCATTTTAAGTTGTGAGATGTTTAAGATTTTAGAACATGCAGAACAAATAGCTTAAGTTTTAGTTTATATTTTAGACCTATATTTTCATTTTCAATTTTACTTGACACATAATTGACAGAACCACAGAAGAAAACTAGATATAGTAATTACTCAAAATAGAGTATCCTTTTCAAGAGATGGCTTACTATATTCTCTTTTACATTCAAATGTAGAAAAAATTTTGGAGAAGATATTCAAGATAGTTGCCCACAACATTACTGAAACGAATTTTGAATTTCTGTGTCAAAAACTAAACATGACAAACTTAGAAGTTGATATGCTAACAAAGAGGTATGTATGAATGGCAGCATTTGGTATAAGTTTATTCTCATATTCTGGTTAATATTGTATCAGTATTACAGTTTTAAAAATTCACATTTACACAAACTCTAATTTGCTGTATAAGACTGATCTTAATTTATTGTGTATTTGTGATCCATGTTGGGAGGTCTTTTGCACAGTAAAGAGCAAAGGCTCAGAGGACATACTATTTGATTTTTAATTCCAGCAGACTATGGACTTCGTAACCTTGGGCAAGTCCTTTAACTTCTCTGTGCCGCAGTTTCTGCATTGATAAAATGGATATACTTACCTAAGAGAGTTGTCATGAGCATCAAATGAGGTCAAACTATAAAGCATGCAGTACAGTAGCATAAGCATATTAATTTAGTGAATGACCCACAATTATTATTCTGAGATCTTAAGAATTAAATGTAAATTGAATTGTTAGTTTCCTATTAAGGAAACAAGGGATATGGTAGAACTAACATTCATTTTTTTTTTTTAAGAATTATTTTGTTTTAACTTTATTATTTTCCAGTTTGATCAGAGAGAGAGAGAGAGAAAGTGAGAAAGCAAGCCATCAGGTTCAAGACTTGAACCGTGGTCGGCCATGTGGGGGTCCAGCGTCCTTAACCACCATGCCACTTGCCAGCCCCTAACATTCACTTTCTATATGCTAAGCTCCATGTTAACTTTTATATATACTGTCTTCACCAATTAATTCCATCCTCACTGCAGTCTGGTAAATTAGTTTGAAAATCTAGATATACAATAACTTAATTGATAATTAAAATATTTGAAAATTTTCAGCAATGTTTCATTAAGTGAGAGAGTCTACCGAGTACTTGTTGCATGGAAAATGGAAAGTAAAAATGTATCCCTAACTACTGCTGCTTTAAAAGACCAACTTGTTCGGGCACTAACTATGATAGGAGCATATGAAATTATGGACAAAATAACAGCTTTTCATCTTTTTACACGTGCAATTAAATTTTAACCAGTGGATCCATAACAAATCTCAAAACTTGTGATACACTTAAATAATTAAAACTGGATTTTGTACTAGCTCATATTTTGTCATGTCTTTTTTCATGTATTTCTAAAAAATTATAATAATTTATAACTACCTCTGTTATTATAATAAAATGTTATACTCTTACATATTTGTTCTGTTGCCTTGGAATGATGATAATGAATTTGAAAATAATTCCATTTAAAATTTCCTATTTATAATACATTTATACAACCCAGGATTTACAGCTAACTAGGTCATTAGTGACTTTCATTAGAGTTATAATGCAGTGTTGGGGTCAGATAGTGGTGCAGCTGTAAATGACACTGTAAGTTTGATTCACATGAAAATGTACCAGGCTCACATCTGGAGACCTCTCTGAGTATACCAGGCATATCTGTGCTCATGATCTGAGTTTGGCTAGAGCTGGGGGCAGGTCATGGTGTCAAGACCCATACTGGGTGTTGACTCTTGTCTCTCTCACTCATAGGAGAAACAAATAGGCTTCAAAACAGAAATGAATATACCATCTCTACTTTTTCTCCATTAAGAATGTTATAGTTTAGTTAAACACACTGGTTCAGGGCCAAAAACACTCTAGTTGAGTGTCCAGACCAAGTTAGTGGACTGGGCTTCTACAGCCTTTACATATGTGCTTCTCCTTATCTTCTGCTACCAAAAAAATCTCTTTCATAGGGGAAATGCATATCATGTATTTTAGGTGGACCTGATCTTGTCATATCTATCTCTTCCCCCCCTACAGCCACTAACATCAAGGTCTACTGATGTAAACACAGTGACCGACTCAGGAAAAGCCATCTGCCTCCTAGCCGAGCCATTAAGAACTTTCCTTAGAACTTTTTTGCACAGTTGTCAGGGAAAAAACTCTTTCTGCTGGCATGTTATAAGTCTTGTAGTTCAGTTATATCATGAACAGTCTATGATATTCTATTGAGAGTTGGATGAAAAGAGACAGAACCCTGGTTATATTGCTTGAGACCCAAATCTAGCCATGTCTGAAGCTAACTATACTTTTTTTTTTTTTTTTTTTGAGGGGTTTTTGCTATAGGGGGGGGGTGCTCGCCAGAAAGACAGAGACAGACAGACGGAAAGCATCACCCCCAGGGAGGATGGCCACACCACAATCCCTTCTCCTCCATTCTCCTCAGGATCTTGGGCACACACGCACACGCACCTGGCCTAAGTTTAAGCCACCGGGTCTGGGACTCGAATCGCGGTTGACTACATGGGAGTTCAGCAACATAGCCATTACACTAACTGCTGGTCCCTGAAGCTAACTATACTTCTGAATTTTTCACTTACTCAGTTAAAAACCTGGGGTTCTTTAACTTAAGATGGAAAACAACCTACAACAGTTGAAATAAAGCTAATACAGTAGGAATATTAAAAACCCCTAAGTCCCTTATGTGTTTATATTTGTGCATAACAGAATCTGCCTGCTATCCAACTGGGCTTACCCTTCCTATTTTTGATGGTCTTGAGTTAGCAGGACATGTCAGTATCTTAAAAACTGATGTCTACATTTGAAAAATCTCCACCAACAATTGCTTGTATAGTCACTTTTTTGAGATATCGTTTTTTTTTCTTTTTTCTTTTGGAGAGGTTTTTGCTATAGGGCGCGTGCGCTCCACAGACAGAGACAGACAGACAGAAAGTGAGAAATCACCCCCCAGGGGGGATGGCCACGCCGCAATCCCTTCTCCTCCATTCTCCTCTCAGGATCTTGGGCACGCATGCACATGCGCCCAGCGTGAGTTTAAGCCACTGGGTTGGGACTCGAACCACGGTCGACTATGTGGGAGTCCAGCGACATAGCCATTATGCTAACTTCTGGTCCAGAGATATCTTGTTTATAGAAAATATTTTTGACTGGATTCAGACTTAGAAGTAGAAGCGCTAAGAGAAGATAGCCTGTATCTCTTGGTAATCTGTTCTTGGTGTTTTTCTTTAGCCTCCTTTATTCATTCTCTTGGCCAAAAGTTCATATTTTGCTGCCTGCCTCTTCCTTGTATATTTCTTTCCAAAAGTTTTAATTTATTATTATTTTTAATTTACTATAGAGCATGTGTACTTGAGAGAGACAGAGAAGTGAGAAAGCAAGCCACCAGGTAGGCCCAGGATCGGAACCATGGTCAACCACATGGGAGTCCAGCACCTTAACCACCATACCACCTGCTATTATTTATATATATATAATGATAAAGAGTCTTTTACTTTTAAATGATTATCAGTACACCAACTAATAACATGTAACAAGTTTGTGAATTCTATCATCTAGTATTTTGATTAAAAGAAACTAAAAGCAGCCCAAACAATTACACAAGTAGTCACTGTTCTAACCTTTAGCTGGAATGGACTATTTTAAGGCTGGCTGCTGCTTCTCACATGTTATAAGTAACTATTTACTACTTTTTCATAGATAAAGCCCCTGACCTTCAAGAAAGCATTAGGGAAAAGATTATTTAATCCCTTTCTTTCTTCAAAGAATTTCCTTTTATACTAGATCTAAGAAAGAGAAAATTAACATTGAGATATGTGTTACGTGAGCTAAAGGAATAGGAAAACAAAATACACCCACTAAATTTCTAAGAAACACGAGATAAAAAGATGAATTCTTTGGATAAATTCTAAATCTGTACAAAAAAGCTAGATTTGCCACTCTGCAAAAAGTGAAGGGACTTGCTATATACTATACAGAAATAATTTAATGCCTTCCCCAAGAATACACCTGGAGCTCTGGAATGCTTCGTATTCCATGAGGGCATCTAAAACGCCACTCCGTGGGACAGGCACTTCCTTTTCCACCTATCCATTTATGCGGTAGTTTAACATTCCTAGCCGGATGTTGCAGACAAAGGCCAAGAAGTCATCCAAGACTTTATCCCCATTCTGTAGGAAGTAGTTCTGGAGGATGGTCATCTATTGGATCTCCTTCTCCACTTCAGTGCTGCAACAACTATGGGAACCCAGAGCAGCAGCTTCCTTCGCCTCTTTCTCCCTCTGCAGGAGGAACTGTTCAATTTCAGCCTGAGATTCTTTGGCCTGTTTCAGTCTCTGGTTCTTCAGCTTGCTTGTCTCACTTCTGGGCTGCAGCAACTGCTGGATCCCCTGTAGCTGGCTAGCCATAGTGGCAGCGACTTTGGGCCCCAGTGAGTGGCCTTAACTAGCTACTGGGCCTGTTGAGTCGGCTGACCCCATGGCCCACACTATGATGTTTCTTGAGAGCAATTTACTGGTATTTGTGTTTCAGGACATGTACAGTCACAAGATGCTGAAACTTGGGTACGTTGGTCCTAGGTTTTCTCACCTTCTTTAAGGGCTTTCTTAAAACATATTGGTAGACATTGTCTTCTTTAGAGAGACTGAAGTTTTTGGATTATGCTAGCTTTCTTAGGCCACATGTGACAAGGCATTATGGTATCAGTCAGCCCATGGTATCAGTCTTCTCCTTTTCTTACAATAACCAAATTGAAAATGCTCAGATTAGAATCAACAATGCAAATCCAAACATATCTGCTATTTTTTCCTCCAGTTCTCCTTGGTCTATAACCGGAATGTCCCCTACTCAATAGCAGGTGGACACAATCATAGGTTGAGACCGTGCTTCATGGAGAAACCATGTCTGTCATTTCTATCACTGATTCAAACTATATAATTCTTCCATTCTTCACCCAAAGCATCAGCAGCAACTTCTGTAGCCGTAAGGTCCTCAAAAAAAGCATAAATTTTGCACACATTGTCCACTTCAATGAGTTTCTGGCAGCCAGCAGCAGGAAAGGAGATATTCAGCTTTTATCCTGAAGCAACTGATCTCCTCTGAAGTAACAGGAAAAAGAGTATAGTTACTTTAAAAATTTTTTTTTAGAGATTTTTGCTCTAAGGCAATGTGTGCTCGCTGGAGAGACAGAGACAAAGAAACAGAAAATGAGAAGTCAGCCCCAGGGGGGATGACCATGCCTAAATCCCTTCTCTTCTTGGGATTTTGGGCATACACGCACATGTGTCCAGCATGAATTTCAAGCTGCTGGGTCCAGGACTAGAACCACAGCTGGCCATGTGGGAGTCCAGTGCCTTAACCACTGTGCCACCTGCTTGCCCAAGTACAGTTATATTTTAAAAATTAACTTTTTTTTAATTGCCAGAGGGTGCATGCACTCTCCAGAGAGAGATGCACTCCCTAATAGGGGCATGGTCACACTGAAATCCTTTTACTCCATTTCAGTTTCATCAAGATTTGGGGTGTGCATGCTTGCATGCATACACATACACACACAGTCCAAAGCTGCTTGGATTGTGATAAATTACAGTTGGCCATATGGGATCCGGCTTCCAACATTGTGCTTAACCTCTGTAATACAGTCGGCCCATATTTTGTTTTACAGTCGGTGAGCCACTTCAGTCTTTTGACTGGGGTATTTAATACATTTACATTATATTAATTACTAAAATATTTGGATTTTTTTCAGATATATTCATTTGTCACAAAATTCACCCTTTGAAAGTGGGTTCATTGGTTTTAGTACACTCAGAAGGTTGTGTCACCATCACCATGATCTAATTTCAGAGCAAAATTTCCTATCAATTACATTTTTTTTCCAGAGGTTTTTGCCATAGGGTATGTGTGCTCGCTCGGGAGACAGACAGACAGAGACAGTGAAAGGGAAAGTGAGAAATCATCCCCCAGGGTGGATGGCCTTGCCATAATCCCTTCTACTCCTGGGATCTTGGGCATGCATGGACATGTGCCTGGTGTGAGTTTCAAGCCACCAGGTCCAAGACTTGAATCATGGTCAGGCATGTCACAGTCCAGTGATGTCACCACTACACCATCTGCTGGCCCCTCTGATAATTTTTTAACCATGGCTCTTTTAAGTTTCATCATTCACGAGCAGTTAATTGTTCTAGTTTGATGTCCTGAAAACTATCGCAAGGAATTATAATCCTAACATGTTATGTCTTCAGGTTGATTAGTGGCGAGGACTCTGACAAGTATTTTCTTTTTTCTTTCTTTCTTTTTTTTTTTTTAGTAATTATTTATTTTATTTATTCATTCATTTATTTTTTAGTTTGAGCAGAGAGAGACAGAGGGTGAGAATAAGAGAGAGAGAAAGTGAGAAAGCAAGCCACCAGATTCAGGACTCGAACCCTGGTTGGCCATGTGTGAGTGTCTAGCACCTTAACCACCACGCCACCTGCTGGTCCCCTGACAAGTATTTTCTAACTTAATATCATATTCTTGGACTGGATAAAAGTTTCCAGAATGAATATAAAAATTGGTAGTTTCATAAAACTGCTAACCCAACATGAAAAGTAAGAACTCATTTATAGGACTCAATAAATAGTGAAGAAATGATATTTTTTTAATGACCTTTTTGTTTGAAACATTGCTGGTTTCTTTAATATTGGATTATCAGAAAAGTCATGATATATTTTTCTATGCAAAAATGTGTCATGATTTTTCCAATGACTGGTATTTTGTTTTCCAGATTTAAGGAAACCTTTTTCTTTTCCTTACACTATCTATAGCTTATACCAATTTAGTAAAGTATAACTTTATGTACCAAAATTCAACACTTTCTTTTCCTTAATTTCTCCAGAATTTTGGAACTATCAGAATTTTTATTTTCATAGCAATTTGGTTATTTGCTATGAGTACGATAGAATTTTTTGCTACTTAACAGGAAACCATTGGAAACATTGACTATCTCACCAAATCTTTGACTGGAATATAATATTTGAGAATGTGTATAGAATTAGATATGGCCATATAGTTGGTTTTTTAAAAAATATTTAATTTTAGTCATCATTATTTTATTTTTAATTTGACCAGAGTTTGGGGTTGGGGGGAGTGGGAAAGCAGGCCACCAAGTCGGGAACTCGAA